CCCCAATCATCCACTAAGCTCTGCCTCTTCAGCTCTGGAGTCACAGATGTGTGCCACCATGCCCAGATTTTGTTTGTTTGTTTTTTAAATCTGGGTTCTGGGGATAAAACTCCGGTCCTCATATTTGGGCAGCAAGCACTTTCCTGACTGAGCATCTCTCTAGCCATGTTTTTTTAATGCAAATGTATGAATTTTCCACAGCAAAATATCAGACCCAATACTTTTTCTGGGTCATGACTATACCATCAATTAATTACTCTGTATTGAAAAAACTGAAATTTAAGTATCAAATTAATCCTTTATTAGAAAAATATGTATGTGTAGACATGTTAAACCTGGCACTGTGCACTCAAAGAATAGGACTAAAAGGTTTAAGGGTGGACCAATGGTTCTTGTTGCTTTATTTATTATTTATTTATTTGGTGTGTGTGTGTGTGATTATGAGTGTGTGTGCCACAGCACTTGGGTAGAGGTCAGAGGACACCTTGCTGGGGTCAGCTGGGGCTCTCCTTCTACCATTTGGGCACGGATCTATCTCAGGTCATCAGGCTAAGAGGAAAATTGCTCCACCCTGCTGAGCCATCTCCGCAATTCTGGACTAGTATTTTAACTGTTTTCTTTCTTTGTAGCCCTTTCGCCCACCCTAAAAACGGGTGTGGCCATTTTGTGGGTTTTATATAAGTCTTTGCAGATGGAATCAGAATCTGTTTGAGTTTGTAAGGAAAGCGGTGGAAGAAGACCCTTTGGCCGAATGCCTTCTGGTCACCAAAACATAAAGGAAAATAGATGAGGCTCTGCTTTTTAGTAGAACCACTAGTGAGGGGCCCTAGACGGGCTGACAAATAGCTGTGATATTGCCATTATTGTGTAACTCTCTACAGCTTGGGTGGGACGAAAAAGACAAACGGACATGACCTCTGCTTTTTCCCATGCACAAACTTTTAGTCTCTTTTAATAAACAGATTTAAATGTCATTTGTCTCTAAGCCTCCTTCCTCTAGCTCTCTTACACATAGAATTGTGTTTTTTTTGTAAGAAGCCATCTGTCTATTTCTTTGTGCTTGTCAAATCCATCAAGAGAATTTATTATTATCTCGGTGTTAAACAGGAAAGAAGCATGTCTTGTGGGTTCTAGTAAAACACAAAATCCCCAAGACTGTTCGTGAGTGTCCTCTGGTCTTTGGGCCTGAGGATAAGCGGGGACTCTGAAATGGCCTCTTTCTTTTCCCATTATTTTTGCCCGTTTTCCAAATGGCATCGAAAGCTAGCAGTGTGCGGGGAAAAGGCAGAGGACCTATCACATTGGTGTTAACAAAATCTTCCAAATCTGCAAGTGGGGCGTGCAAAAATAGATGGGCTGTATTTTGGGATCAGGTGAACAAAACATGCTTCTTCAGAGTGTGCCCATCAGCACATTAAAATGTTAGTCACACCGCCGCTCCGCCGCTCTCGAAGGACCGTCTCTTGTAACTTGCTCGAAATCTTTGTCATAACTGATTAGGGTTGTTTTTTTATTTTTTCTTTCCCTTTCCTATGGGGCAGGGGGAGGTGGGGAGCCTCATTGAGCTTTGAATGGAATAGCATTCATATTTCTCA